GGCAGGCCAATAGCATATCAGGTTGGGCAATAGTGTATTGGGCAGACCAATAGCATATCAGGTTGGGCAATAGTGTATTAGGCAGGCCAATAGCATATCAGGTTGGGCAATAGTGTATTAGGCTGGCCAATAGCATATCAGGCTTGGCAATAGTGTATTAAGCTGGTCAATAGCATATCCAACTGGGCATTAGTGTATCAGGCTGGGCATTAGTGTATCAGAGTGGGCATTTGTGTATTAGATAATACAATATTCGACTGGGCATTAGTATATCAGGCTGGGCAATAGCATATTAGGCAAGCCAAAAGCATATCAGGCTGGGAAATGGTGTATCAGGTTCAAATTACTAATAGTCTAATGTACATATTCTATTTTCAGACAATGTCTAGAGGAAAGAAACTAATTATACAAGCCAAGGTAATCTAACAGCCTAAACATTTTAAAACTTTATTGTATATTGCATTCATCACCCAAAGAGCGCCCTCACACATCCTTTATTTTCTATTTTTTTTATGAAGGACAATTACAAGGGATATGATTTTGAACAAAGACTCAGTGTGAGAGTTCATGCTGCCCTGCAACAGTTGAAGAACGTTGACTGAAAATGAACGACGTACAGTAACCGAGAGACAAAGCAAAAAATACATTAATGATTTGAAAAGCCTTACTTATCAATAAAGTTGATCATCAAAATTGAGATTAATTGAAATTAATTATTGGGATTAATTATGAAAGTTTTGAGACATTTAATGGAAATCTTTTGACTAGTCTATTTGTCAGACATTGAATCACAAGATTTGTAATTTTACATGATTATATGTGCATATTTTTTCATTTATTTTAAGTTGATTTCTGTGTTTTCTTATCATATATACTGTGTGTCATGATGACGTGTGCTAAATAGAATTTTTTACTGACAATTTTCAGTATATTGTTTTGAGCCAATGGCGTACATTTTCAGATTTTGTTGTTTGCTGTTTACTATTTCCCATGATGCATCATGTGCAAAACAGTGAAAATGTACTGAGAATTGAGGTGACTTAATCCATCTCTGTCCTCGTCTTTGCTTGTCAAAGTATGTTCATTTGGACATTGCTTCGCTACTATATCTTGTATTCAGCAGATGTTTATTTACGGGTGCTCTCTTTGACAACTCAAAATCTCACCGTTTTGTTTTATGTTCATTGCTCATGTGCCTGGATAACTCTGAGAGGTCCTTTATTCAAATGTACTGTAAAACATGTTGAAAAAGCGGCATGCAATTTTAGCGAATTGTGGTAAAATGACGAAATGTTGATTTAGCGAATATCTCCCGTCATTGTTGATTTCTTTGTTTGGCAGCCATTTTGAATTGATAATAAAGTCATTAGCGACATCTTGAATTAGCGAATCAGTTCTCTCGCTAAATTCGCAAAAAACACATGCTTGCGAAAAAGACATGTTTTACAGTATGTATTTTATCGACACACAATCTCTCAGTAGACTCACTAAT